TGAATGAATGAATGAATGAATGAATGAATGAATGAATGAATGAATGAATGAATGAATGAATGAATGAATAAATAAAATAAAAAAAACCCAGCTGAGTTTATTCTGAATCTGCTGACATTTTTGTCGCGAGGCTTCATGATCTCTGTGGTTCTGTTCAGGGTTAACAAATCAGCAAGAAAACATTTCTAAAATGAAAACATTACATTCCAGAAGTGCTTACAGAGTCAGAAAAACACAGAGCGTCAGCAGCTTCAGACAGGCCGGGTGTCATAAATTACAGCTCGTAATGCAGATCCTGAGCTTCACAAAACAACAAAAGCAGCAATAAACTGATATCACCACAAAATATGAGCCGACTGGTGACAGATCTGAAAGATTGGATGTTTTTATTGATGGAAAAAGATAACTCYTGCAAAGATGAGCAAGATTTTATTTTTATTAAATATAATTTAGGCTCTTGAATAATCTTGGTAAAACTATCCAGGTGAGAAAATATAAAATTCATTTCACTCATTCTAATGACCTACGGATATTAAAAAGCTGTAAACAGTTTCTAATGACGATGTTCTAAATATATATAGTTTTACTATTCAGTCTATCGCCGTAGGTTTTTTTTTGTCTCTCACACTGACAAAAAAAGGCCATACAAGTATTGATGAGTATAATTTGATCCAGCTGTATTCCACATTTACACTAAACCCTAATTCACAGCTTTTGTTTTTGCATCCGTTTAGTTTMTCACCCTCATGTTTTCAGAGTAAAAAGTGAAGTGAGGTGAACGTGAAAGTTATCTTAGAAAATAAAACTTTTCAGTACTTCAATATAAAGAGGAACTAGAGAATTGTGTGTGTTTTAAGGATGTTGAAGAAAGCACCATTTATTTTAATAAGAAAAAAAAAACAGAAAAAATAAATATTGCAAGTACCAAAAGTCATCGCCAGAATGTCCAGAAGGAGCTGAATGTGTTGATATATAAATAGTAGAAAAAGCACAAACCAGTTGTGTGCAGAAAAACGTATAGAAGAAAAAAGCATCATCTCAGTAGCTCAATGAGCCGAGCTTGGAAAATGTCTCACAAATCTTAGCCGTATGACACTTACAAATATTTTAACTGGTAAATGACATTCACTGTACTGTTTAGTAAGATGTATTATATTTAGTGTTAGTGATTCTTTCTTGACAATACACGATAAATTCAGCTGTTGACGATTTAATAACAAGTTTAAGTGCCATATAGGCATTTCCTGACCGTCCGTTAACATAAAAAGGCYTGGCTGTGTTAAGGTGCACAGCTCCCTCTGGGTGAATTTGCCTGAAGCAGAGGAGTTCAAGTATCTGAATGTTTTGTTCACGAGTGACAGTAGGATGGAACAAGAGATGGATCAACAGATCAGGGCTTCAGTCACAGTAATGAAGGCGTTGCTCCAGTTTGTTCAGTAAAAAGAGCTGAGCTGAAGGCTGAATATCTTGATTTACTGGTCTGTTTGCGTTCCACCCCACTTATGGTCATGTGACATGGATCAAGGCTATAGGGTGGCAGGGTTTCAGCTTTACAGATAAGGTTAGGAGCTTTCAAGTTGTTTGCAAAACTAAAATTTAGTTCAACCCCTACCTGATTTGGGCTTTGGTTTGCGACCAGGTTTCCCTTTGATCCTGGGAGCAGTCTCTTCTGGTTTAGTTCCCGCCTCTTTGCTGCATTTGCGGACCCTCCTCCTGGAGGGTCCTGCCACGAGTAGAGCAGGGGACGGCTCGGCACCTGGACAGAAGGAGAGCTCACATTTGTCTGTCTGACTACAGGAATTCAAAGTTTTCACGTCTCACATGATCAGAATAATGAATTCTGGACATTAAAGCAGTGAAAGGAAACAGAAAACGTCTGAATCAGCTTGTTAATGTTCCTGATTGAACTTTTATTTATCGGTTCATATAGTTAATTCACTCATGAAAAGCATAATAAAGACAGTCTGCTGTTAGGATGTAAAGACATTAATACTCTGAAGTGCAGAAATAAACAAAAAATAACCAAGATGTAAATAAAATGCTTTCTCAGTAAATATTTATAGTTTGTATAAAAATGGTTTATGATATTTCTTCTATTTTCTTCACTTTGAGGTGAAAACTCATGAGACACACACACTAACACAGAAAACATGCTATACTTGAGTAGGTGTGTTTTAGTAGCAGCCAACTGAGAAATAAAAGTCCGTTTACGACTTGATGTGAAAATTTAATGAGGAAAAGTTTGTGTGTGTTCCAGTTTCTCTCGGAGAATAATTAAAGGCTGTGTGTTTTCTCACAGTGGATCTTGTAGTCTGGTGGCAGCAGTCTGATGTGGGAGAGGGGGATACGGCCTGTGTCCCCATCGTCAAACTCCACCGTGATGAGGTCATCGTTCTCGTCGATGTCTGAACTTCCTGTTTGGGAGAAAAACACAAGGTTCAAAAATGACAGCATGGTAGTGATGAATGAGGGGGAGGAGCTTGTGCTCTCTAYTGGATGTGTGTTCATGTGGCATTATCCCACCATTGACAACCGTTCCAGGATAAAGGCAGCGGTACTGCTGACTCCAGTAGGCAGCGATGCGGGTGCCTTCTGGCAGATAACGCACTGATGGAGGCTTAACATCGATGATCTGTTAAAAACACAATGAAAAGACATTATACAGACTCCACAAGCTAATAAACTCAACAAGCTCACGTTTCCAGATCTCACATCTCCTGCGTGAACAGAAATAGAACGACGTGAACTCTTTCTTTGTGAGAAAYCTGCAGTTTACTCACAGCTTCCTGCAGCAGCTGTTCCAGGCAGTAGATGTGTGGTCGGTTTCCTCGCTCCCCCTCCACCACCACGCTGTAGCTGCAGTGGAGAAACACGGGAGAAGGAAGCTGTGTTTAAAAGGTCGGGATCAATGTGCTGAAGCCTCGGTTTGTCATTACAGAGAAGAGTTCACTTTGAAGTGTCCACGATCTCTTTGCTCGAGGCAGATTGGAGTTTACAGCTCTTTCGACTCCAGGGATGTGAAGCAAACTGCAGAAAAACTTCTTTAGCTACCAGTGTGTCACTTTAACTCTAGATAAAATCCGGAGTATCCCAACAAGGTCGTCTCTATCCAACTGTTCATCAAACTGCAGCTTCATTGTGTTTGTTTTGGTTTAATAACAATTTATAACAAATTCCAGCAAAAATACATCATCTWGTGATTGTTTCTAGATGTTTAAGCAAACAGCCTGATGTTTTGGCAAGCTTCAGCTACYTCACTAAATTAGCATTTAGCCCACAAACAACAAAGTGGCCTGGTGTTTTCGTGTACACTCACATGTCTGGGGAGTGAACTGTGTTCACATGTCCGGCGTAAAGAAGCTGGTCCTCCATRGGGATCAAAACTCTGAGTCCGTCCACCAGAGAATCCTTTTCGAGCACACACTGCACCGGAGCTGAGCGCAAGACCACTCGACATTAATATTTATTGACCAACGCCACAGTGGTTTGCCCTCTCTGTGGGTGTGTGGGTACTGACCGGGTGTAGTGGACCTCTCTGAGACGCTGTTACTTCGTGGAGGGAGAAGTTCATCCTCACTGAAGCTGCTGTCTTGGTTCGGCTCGAAATCTTCATCCGCTGCCATACTCTCCATCAAACGGCTCACAGCTCCCCTGGATGGCTAAAACAAGTTTTATATACATAAATAAAGACATGTACCTAAAAATAGTTAGCAACATCAATAAGACAAACACTATAAAGTCACGGTATAAAGTAAATCTACCTCCTAATTTTAGAGTCTGAAGCAGGGATTCACGAGTCTGAGGTGGAGTTCTTGGGTTTTTTGTGAATTAATGAGAATTGCACAGTCTGACCTTGGGGTGAACCTACTAGGAAGATTGGTAGCTGTCTTAAATGTTTTCCACCTTTGAATAATCTTTGTCACTGCAGAAGAATAGACTCCAAATTATTTTAAAATGACCTTTAACCTTTCTCAGACCGATGGGCAGCAGCTGCTGAGGTCTCTTTTTTTGGCATTGTGTTAACACCCAGCTGCCCCAGAGCAGCAATCWGACAAAACTCCTGCTTTTATAGAGATGAATCCTTTTACCTGCATGCTCCTTCCTTTTTAAATTGTTTAGAAGCAGCAGGAGTGGATCGACTTAGAACCTGGTTAAAAAACTGATTATTATGTCTTGTTCCATAAAACAWTTGACTGTATGTCCTAAAAAAACATTTTCTAAGTAAAACAATTTCTATGTTATGTAATTTTATCAAACAGCCAAACTAACAGGTTGAAACACCACAAATGAACTTCACCTCAGCACTTTCTGTTTCTCCACAACCAGCCCAGAACACACTTCCTCTGCTTTTAATGTTTCCTAAACAAGTCTGACTTTCACCTGGCTGCAGATGGTGAGCAACAAACAAACWAAACCTCACACAACACATGGAGTTTACTTTTTCAAAATAAAGTTAGTTAACAGCTCATTTCTTAAGATGTCTTTTTTAAAACTGTACACACAAACATGTTTGTATTTCTATCCTTATTAGAACCTTTCATTCTCTTCCAGCCATTTCTGTAGCCTGAGCCCCTGAAACCACAAATGGAGTTCCACCATATMAGGATCAGTCTTTGGTACCCATAAGGACTACAGCTTCATACAAAGTAGGTGTGTATACCAGAAACGGTCCTAAAACAAATTAACTAATATAAGTAAACACAAACACACACGCACACAAACACACACACACAAGCTCGCTGTTATGGTGTGAGGCTGTGCAGTTAGTTAAAGAGGCTCTGATCCGTATTGACTCTGCAGTCAGTTCATCTTCTCACTAACCTCTCTGGTCTTGCTTTTGGCCTTGGGTTGAGTCTTGTGGGCCGGGCTCAGGCTCCGAGGGGCAGAACCATCACTGGTCGGACCGCACATAGCAGACGGGCTGATGGGCACGGGGGAGTCCTTCAGCTTCTTTTTCTGTTTATTTTTTAAAGGAAACAGACATGAAGCATGCAGATGAATGAATGTGAGCACCAACCTTGAACACACACACACACACACACACACACACACACACACACACACACACACACA